GGGCAATGCCCTCTGGCTCCTCTGGCTCCCGCGGCCCTGGAGAGGCGCGCGGCGTGGGATGAACAGCAGCGGCCGCAGGCAGCGTTGGCGGCGGCTCTCCGTGCCGCGCCGCGGCCGCCGCCGCCACCTCCGACGGCGGTGCGACGCCGGGCGGCACGCTGCCGTGACCGTGGGCGGCTGGAGGGGGCGGGCCGGCAGGGAGGGGGGGCGCCGCAGGCAGGGGCGCACCGTGGCCGGTGGCAGGGGCGGAGGGCAGAGGGGGCGGGCCGGCAGGGAGGGGAGGCGCCGCGGGCGGGGGCGCACCGTGGCAGGCAGGGGCGGGCGGAGGGGCCCGGCGGCGCGCGGCGCGCAGGGCCAAGCTCGGGGCGGCGGGCCGCACGGCGCGGCCACCGCGGCGGCCCCCGCCGCCGCCGCGCCAGGCCACGCGGGCCCACACGCGGCGGCGGCGGGTGGCGGCGCTGCCGGCAGGGCGGGCGGTGGCTGCCCGTGCACCACTGCGCGCGGCTCCGCCGCGGGCGGCACCGCCGCATGGCGGGGCCCCGCCAGCAGCGGGGCGCCGCCCTCCTCCGCAGCGCCGCGGCGGCGGGCTGCCGCGGCGGCCGCCTCGGCGCGCGGCGGCGGCGCGGGCAGCGCCAACGGCCGCGCTGGCTGCGGCCCCGCCGGCGGCGGCGGCGGGCCGCAGCAGGGCGCCGCTTGCGTTGGGACGCTGCTCGAAGCCGCGGGGCGCCCTGCGGCGGCGGGCCGCTGCTCGGGCGGCCGGCGCTGCCAGCGCCGCAGGCGGTCGCGCCAGAAGGCGGCGGGCGCGGCCTCGAGGCGGTGGCGCTGCTCTTGGAGAGCGGCGCGGAGTTCCCGCAGGGAGGCCTCGTCGACGCGCGCGCCGAGGTTGTTCCTGCTCGGGTTCCACCATGGGCTCTCTGGCTTAATTCGAGGGTCCCCAAAGTTCATGTTCTCCCATCGTACTTAAGGGCCACATCCCAGGAATCATTTCGAGCACCCAGAAGTGAACGTGTCGAGACAGTGTCGAACGAATGTCTCCCCGGGCCCGACACGTGAACACCCCTCGAGCTTCGGTGCTTCCTTGGTGCTCGAAATTCTGTCTGGCGGTTCAGGCCAAAGTAGGTTGGCACATCATAACCCAAGGCCGTGTGGTGACGGACCGCGCGGGGACGTCGGACCCCCAAACGACCTCACCGCACGGTCCGCCACCGAAGGGCCCTTGGACCCTGGAGGTCCTCGGAGAACGACCAGGTCATAACACTGCGCGGTGACCCCGAACCCCCACCGGCTCACCACACGGCGTGGTGACCACGCTGTTTGGGGCCCCCCGAGGCTCGCCCGAAGGATCCTGGCGTCGCAACTTGTCATATCGGGTGACGCTCCGTCATTTCGGGCCCCAAGGCCCTCGCGGATCGATCGGGTCCGACAAATACCGCCGGAAGGTGGGAACCAAGGCACCCGTTGACTTCAGTCACGATGTTGCAGTTTTATTCGCAATGTAGGATCTCCAAGTGTGACTGGGTCGCCCCAAGGACCTCCGACGCATTCAGAAAAAATGATGATTCGGGCGTTGGCAGGACTGGGTCTAATGGGACCTGGTTTAGTGATGTGTACCGGGGGACGCCCCCCCCCGCCCCGTTCCACTAGCCGGAACTGCCGTCACCCAAAAAACACCAGCTACGGCAGAACTGGTTCAGTGATTCTGGTCAATGTAATAGCTCCAGGGCCCTGCTACTACTAAACGGGTCCCCTTACCTGGGGTCCTAGCTATACCCCGCAATGGTGTTTCCGTCGTGCCGTGTTCGTCTCTGGGGGTCCTCGCGGGGCCCTGGGGTGCAAAGCAGGCCCTGGGGGGAACCAGGGGACATGCCGACCCCTGTCCCAGGCTTCGTGGGGCTTTCGGCTCCCGAATGGACGAGACATGCTGGGCCCAACCCTGGGATATATACGATGGGGGGGGTCCTGAGAGTCCATCCTCGACAGAGGTGAGTCCGAATAGTTCCCTTGGGGTGTATCCTAGGGATTCCACCTTTGTCTGAGCTGCCAAAGTTTTCGATCGAAACTCGTGGATCGGGGTAGAAAAGTCGTCTGCGAGGGGAAGGGTCGCTGCTTCCGGGGAGCCCCACATCGAAACACAGCAGCTCACCGGATCTCTGGGACCTGCCGTCGATGCTTCGATGCTCGCTGAGAAACTTCCGGTCGCCCCAGGCACCTCTGCTACACGGAACTGCGGGTCTTCGAAGCACAACCTCGGACCTCCAACGGCCGCTCGAGGCGATCCGGGCAGCCCCGAAGCCTTGCCGTCGTGCGGGCGTCCGTTCCCCGTGCATGGTTCGATGCTGTGCGTGTCATCTTGAGCAGGGGCCGACAGTCCCGGCATTCCTAAGAGGGCTACCGCGACATGCTCTCAGATCCCAAACATGTTCCAATAACAAAAGCCAGGTTCTCAGAACGCGATGCCGCTGTGCTAAAACAGGACGGCCCCAGCCACAAATGGTCTACGAACACATCGTGCAGACCACAGAAGGTCCATAGAACATTCTTTGGTGGGCCGGTGGGCAAACCAGGACGCTTCGCCACTGCTCGAGCAATGCTGAGGGAAAGCCCTGGTCGCTCGCGGGGCCCATCCTGGCTGACCAGTGCTTCCGCGTCGCGTGCAGCAGCGTCGGCCAGGACCCCCCAGGAGCGCCCAGACGATCTGACCAAAATAGCGACGCCCACCACGTCGTCGATGGGGATGGAGGCAGGGGGAGAGACTGCGGACGGGGATGCGTGCAAGGGTGAGCGATGCCAAGGGACATCCCTCGACGAGGCGCAGCCGCTGGAAGGTACCCCGAGGCCAAAGCCGACCGACGAGGACCGGCGAAGAGGCCCGTGAACCTCGAGCTCTTCCCCCGACCCCCGACGTCATGACTTTTGTCGTGGGATCGCTGTCTTGCTCGGCGGTTCGACATTCAGCGGGCAGGGGAGGAGGGGGGGGGGGTCTGGCTCCAGACCTCTGCTGAATCTAACGCTTTGCAGCAGCGCGTCCCTTGGGGGAGGCCCTGCCTGCAAGGAGCAGCAGCGCCCCAAAACAGCCAATATCTGCTCCGTGGGGCGGGGGGCCGAGGGCCCTCGCTCTGTTCGGCACACCGGTGCATGAAAAAGCCATCGCCGCGACGTGGGCCCCCAGCTGCCTCGACCCACTCCCCCTGGGACCAGCTCGCAGTCCCCAATCGTTCTGGTGACGGCCCCGAGGCCAGGCGAGGGCCTCCAGAGGTCCAACACGGAGAACAAGAACCTCCCGTCACGAGGGGATCTGGGTCAGCCTGTCCCGAGCCTCAGCCCTGAGCCTTCGAGCTTCGCCCTGGCGGTCGTCGTTGTCGTCGTCGTCGTCGTCTCCGTCGTCGTCGTCGTCGTCGTCGACGGCCGCCGTCGTCGACGGTAGTGGGCTTCGTCGTTGTCGTCGGTCGTCGTCGCGTCGTTTTCGTCGTCGTCGTCGTCGTCGTTGTCGTCGTCGTCGTCGTCGTCGTCGTCGTCGTCGACGTCGTGGTCTCCTGCGCGACGCGTCCGTCGGGTCGAGGAGGCAGACGCTGCTGGCGGGGCCCGTGCACCACCTCGGCCGCGGGGGCCTCTCGGCGAAGGGTTGCGGCGCGCCCGCGTCCACCACGACCTCCAAAGGGGGAAGGGAGGGCAGGAGGAGGAGGAGGAGGTGGAGGAGAGGGAGGAGGGCAAGAAGGGAAAGGAAAAGGAGGAGGAGGCGGAGGAAGAGCAGGAGGAGGAGGAAGAGGAGGGGAAGATAAGGAGGAGGATGAGGAGGGAGAATAGGAGGAAGACGGAGAGGAACAGGAGAAGGAAGAGGAGGAGGAGGGGACGGAGGAGGAGGGAGGAGGAGGAGGACGAGGAAGAGGAGCAGGAGGAGGTGAGGAAGAGGAGGAGGAGGAGAGGAGGAGGAGGAGGAGGAGGAAGTGGAACAATGGGGGGGGGAGGAGGAGGAGGAGGTAGAGGAGAGGAGGAGGAGGAGGAGGAGGAGGAGGGGAGGAGGAGGAGGAGGAGGAGGAGGAGCACAAAAAGGAGGCGGAGGAGGAGGAGGAGGAAAGGGAGGAGGAGGAAGAAAGGGGGAGGAGGAGGAAGAGGAGGAGGAGGAGGAGAGAAAAAGGGGCCCAAAGAGGAGGAGGTGGATGAGGAGGATATGTTTGCCAGGAAGCTTCAGCTGTTGTGGTGAATCGACGGCAAGAGGCAGCGAGCAGGTGCCGACGCGAAAAAGGGGGATCACTGAACAGAGCTGCGGGGATCTCCGGCGCTGTAAAAGGCCGAGGGAAACCGAGGTAGACCCAGCAACACGACACAAACGCTGTACACGGGCTGCAAAGGCAGCCTCCCAAATCTGACTGGATTCCGTATTCTGAATTCTGACTTGGTGCGCCACCTCTGGCGCAACATTGTCAAACTCCGCTACAGCACTTTGATGGGACCCTCTCCGTGCTGAGGGTGTACTCCCCTCAAGACGCGATGCCACTTCCAGAATTGTCGGGGGTCTTCCTTTCCTGGACACCTCTGCGTGTACAGCTTGTTGTTGAGCGGAGAACCTGTGTTCATGAACGCTGAGCAGTGAAGGCGCACGAACGGCGTTGAAATATCGGAGCATGCTAAGCTGACGACGCTGTGCTTAAGGAGCACAACACGGGCAATGCCTATGTCATGCACCGCTCCTGCGCATCTGTGCGGAGGCGGCCTCGGCGGCTCTCCGTCAAGAGGGCGCGAGGTAAAATCATGTTTGCGGGCCGCGCGGAAACATGTTTAAACATTTTTCCGCGGCGTCAGAGCTCAGCAATCCACGCGAAGGAGCACTGGGCGAGAGGGGCTCTCTCTTGTTTTGGCTCTGGAATGTATCCAACTGGCCCCATCATACTTAATTGAATTCGTGGCCAGCTGCCAGAACGCGTTAACAAACCGAATATGCTCACCGACAGTGACTAGCAACTGACAGTCTTGAGGGCGAGCCGACAGCGCAGCCTTCGCACCTTGGTCGGCAGATGGTGCCCCGTCCTTGCGTGCAGCTCGTCGGGCGAGATACCTGGGTCTTGGAGGGGCTGGTGCGCCTTTATCTTTCCAGCCCCCTCCAGGTGGCGAGCGCCGTCGTCTAGTTTGGCCTGCAAGGTGTGGCCAGCAAATGCTTTTCGAGAAGACGCGTAGTCCTCAGCAGCACTGCCGACTTGCTCGAGAACGTTCTTTAACGGCGGCCCCCTGGGGCACGCGACAGAGCCAGTGAAGGCGTTGAACTCCGCGCCCTGGGGCGTCTGGCGCAACGAGGCACGGGCGCGGCATTCCATGTCGCACTGTCGGACCCCGTTCTTAAAAGGGTTACAGCACCACGCAGCGCGACGCAACTCTGTGACCACACGTCAGGAGCAAGAGCCGTCGACAAAAAGACCCCCTCGATCCCATTAGGGTCGGACGGGGGGGGGGGGGAGGGGGGTCCACAAACCGCGCCACGGGCCAGGGCCCTGCAGACGGCGGGGCGGGGCGCGCGTCTCCTGGGCGCGGAAAATCCCCTCTCATGACGGCGAATCGCAGGTTCCTGTCGGCGACAAAACTGTCGAGCTCGTCCTCTTCATCCCGGCCAACGAGTTCGACGCGCCAATCGTTCAACTCAGGGCGCACCCGTATGGCATGGCGCAAAGTGTCGCGCATGCCGCAACCTAGCGGGCACTCATCAGGGCGCTGGCAGTCTGCCCCGCGAGCGTGAACTCTGGCCCGCAGGCCTCCAGCCGCGACAGTGCTGAGCGCGGCGATCTGATGCGGGGAATATTTGTTTGGAGGCCGGGTTTTTCAGCGCAAAGTCGAAACAAACTCTGTTGGGGAGAGCGTTCTTGTCACCAACGCTTGTCACCAACGTGCCTCTCCAGAAAGCGCGACAACGCCTCGAACGCGAGCTGCCGCGCCATGGCGGAGGCCTGCTCCGCGGGCGAGACACTGTGGCCAAGATCAGCGACAAGGGTGACGAAGTCGGGCATTTCCCATCCTAGACGTTGGAGAGATTCTCTCATCGCGGACCCTGGGCCCGACGCAGACCCCCCTGGGCCCGACGCAGAGATCGCGTTCCAGAAACCCCGAAGAGTGGAAAGAAATAACAGCCTGGTGGACCTGGGGCCTGGAATTCCAAACATCAACCGGCCCGGTCGGGCCCTGCTCGAGATGCAGCAAGATCGAGAGGGACCTGTCGCCCGCGCTGGGCTTTAAAATGAAGCAGAATGACCTGCGCAGAAAAAGCAGCTCGCCGCCAGAGACCCCGCGGATCTCGGCAGCGCAGGTCGCAGCAGGGGGAGGGCCAGGGGCCGAAGACGAGCGAGCCCTGCGTCCTATGCTGCCTGTCAGACGGGCAAGCCTCTTCGTCAGAGCACGAGCTTTCTGTTTCCTCTGCTCAGCCATTGAGCGGAGGCCCTTGCGCCGGGGAGGTCCCCCCCCCCGAACCGTCAGTCAGCTCCGAGGTTCGGCGGCGCGGGGGCAGAGGGGCCAGACAGGGCCGATCCGATCCGACTCTGGATGGCAAGCCCCAGGGCCCGATTCGAGGCGAGGAGAGCGGCTTTATTTCCGGTCAAGGTCGCACCAATGTCTTCGCACAACTTTCAGAAGGTCCTGGGCGCCCTGAACAACCCCCTGGAGCACATCTTGGTAGCCCCCTACACCGATGATGCCGTTATCATCGAAGAACAGGCTGTGATGGATGCAACTGCGCCGGGCGATGGGGCCCAGGCCCGTCAACAAGATCACGTGCATAAGCGCCGTCGCCAAAAAAAACTGCGGCCGCGCCTCGCAAGGCCCACAGGGGCACGCCCAATATGCCCCGCAGGCTGGCGTACGTTGGCGCACGGTTGCCCTGCCAAGCTAGCTCGGCCACGCCAGGCGGGAAACCGCTCAGCCTGCATCGCTCGAGAAACCCGCTCGAGCGATAGAGACGCATAGCAGTCGCGGAAGTCCCGCAGGAGTGTGGCGGAGCACTGTCCAGCGGCAACCCCATCCATCCGACAGGAGGGCTTGTCGCCAGACTGTCTCGTCCGCCCCCATGCACTTTCCAGCGGCGAACCAGGGCCTCTGGTGGGCCCGATACCGCTCGATCACCAGCGGCCGTCTGGCTTTCCCCCGCAGACGAACGGGCCCGCAAAACAAAGCAAGCGATGGGTCGAAATCACCCAGAAGCACTGGGGGACAGCGTCGAAACAATCATGTGGATTTGGAAAGGGAGAAATGGACGAAACGTCCATCACGCTGAAAAGACGCAGGAAAGCTTCCAGGCATTCATCCGAGAGCCATCCGATCTGGTGCATATGGACACTGTCAGTGCTGACCGCCGATCAAGCTTTGTGCTGACTACTGCAAGTTCTCACCACGCCAACACTGGGGAACTCCAGCTCAGGTTCGGGGGCGAAGTCCGAAGGGGGGGGGGGGGGGGGAGGGGGATCGGTGGAGGCTTCCCAGAGCGCCTGAAACCTGGCAGCCTCCGTGGCGAGAATAGAAGGAGGGGTCGCCAACGATGGTCCCATCGTTGGCCAGCGCCGCGGAAGGCGACCAGACCGCGGGCTCAGCCGTGGCTTGATGAACCCTCCTCGCCCCTTTTTCCGCCCCCTCCTTGATCCATGCGCGCCACGACGCAACCCGCGCGCGCTGTCCTGAACATGGAGGTGCTGGTGCCACTTCTCGACGAAGGGGTCGCAGCAATCATTGAAGCTCCTCGGAAATAGACAAAAGCCCAATTAGCTTCCGCTTTTGGGCATGGGGCGTTTCCCGTTGTCGCTGCCCTTGATCATCGCGGATGCATGATCGATGGCTCCCGCTGCAAATGAAATATTCGCATCGAGGCTTTGTGATTTCGCGAGCTGCTCCAGCTTCGCGATTGCCGCGCGTCCACTAACCCATGTGCAATCAAAATGCGCGGTGGCACAGCTGTGGCAGGTCGATTAAATGCGTCATCGTCCGCTCATGATCGCCATCGGCGCATCTTCCCTGCATTCCTCAGCAAGTCCACCGCGCGCCCTGCCCAGTGCATTTATCGTCAGCGATCGCCGGCGCGCGCCACTGTGACACCCCACCGACCCGGCGCAATTGAAGCGCGTGGCTCTGCGACCGCGGACGCCCAGCTTGCCATTGCTCTTGTCCATGCTGAATGATGCGGCACTCAGACAATCAATTTGCACCACTTCGCCTGCCCTGACCATTGCCAACAATTCAGAGAATTCTCTCTGCTGAGATCCAGCCTTGCAGCCCATCCCCATTGCGCCCGGGCGCGCTCGCAAATGTCTGCCAAAAAACCCAGAGATCTGGTTGTGCTGCCACGGTGCTTCTCGATCGGGGTCCGTGCCAAGCGCCCCATCGTAGGTAGTAGAGCTCGCCCTTTGCTTGTTTGTGTTAGCTCTTCCTCTTCGCCCAAGTCCGCTTGCCCTTGCCTCTGCACTGCTACTCGGTCGATTGCCTCACCCGGCCCTATGTTCTTCTCCAACCTTTGTTCGATCATCAGCGACCCCTCGCTCGGCGGCCCCCGCGATGGATCGGCTCTTCTCTTGCAAGTTCTTGCCGTAGATCTCAGTGGCTGTGCGATCTTCTCGAAAGTTCCCCATCTCATCTGCATCTACAAACCTCGCATCGCCATCGCCGTCCGCGTCAAATGCCAAGCAAAACTCCGACTTCATTTGCTTGTAATTGGTTGTTATTGCCTTCGAGCCTCCTTCTCCCCCGTCCTTCGCCAATTCGCCCTCCCCCCCCACTCGTGCGCTTCCATGTTTGTCCGAGGCAAATGAGAATAACGTTTGCGAGGTCCTCGCCCTGCACCGCTATATTGACATCGAAGGGCGTGAAGTTCTGCAAAATTGCGCTGGTCTTCTGCTTGGCATTTCGCTTTCACCAACTCTGCCTTTCGTCTCTTCTCTCGAATAGCTCTCTCACTTTGGTGCGTCGCCGCGATCTCCTTCAGCGTGGCCTTAGCTTCCTCGATCTCTTCTCCTCTGCTGCGGCCCCTCGTCTGAGCTCTCGTCGTCAGCCCAACAACTCCTCTCGATGCTGCGTAGCTGCTCCCATCGAGTCTGGCACGACTCTGCCCCCCTGCGGAAAAGTCTCTTCCATTGCGTTTGTCATTGTGCTTTCCAAGAGGTCCCACATGTCGTCTGGCGTGCGTCTGCTCTATGCCCCTTGCCATCGCTCTTCCGCATTGCGATTCTGCTGCTCCTCGATCTGTTGCTTGAGCATATTTCGTAAAACGCCGTTGCGGCGTAGACACTTCATCAATGCATCTGTCCACTCGCATACGCCAGCGCTGCCCACGTGGATCTGTGTTACATTGTAACATCAGTGCAACAGGTGTGTGTTCTCTTCGCTCTCGATGTCGGACTGGCTGCAATCTGCGCCCCGCTATGGGTAGAGTTCTGCAATATATAACTGCTGCCGCAGCTCCATCTGGTCAAATACCATGGACAATGCTGGTTTGCCCTAGCCCGCCGGACAAATCCTGAGTCTGAGACGACTGTAGCTTGTATTCTCAAATGTGTGTTCTGACAAATCTTTCGTATCGCTTAGCCGCTGCTGTTCTCAATCTTCGGGTCGCAGCCTCCCGCAGCCCTTCCCTCTTGTCGGGCTTTCAGCCAGGACGATCTGAATTGCAACCAGCGCGCCAAACAATTGTTGAAATCCTGCCACTGTGTCGCGTAGTTGCTCCACCCAAGAAGATGTTCGATTCGCCAGTTCGTCATTGTTCTTCTTATCCACTGGTGCGCAGTATGTGCCCAGAAGTACGATGTCCATCTTACCTAGCTTCAGTCGAAGGGCAGCTACGCGCCCTCGTAGTCCCAATGGCGGGTGATGTACTTGATTTAAGCATGTTCCCGGTAGCTGATTAGAAACGAGGAAGCCGATCCCGCAACTGTTATCCAGCAGCTTCTTCTCCATCCGCAGTGAATGGCCCCAGTGGATCGATAAGTGTTGAATAGCTGCGGGGTGCTCCCAATATGCTCGCCGCCTCGTGACTGTAAGTGTAACGCGCTGTCATGTATTCAGCTCTCTCCTGGAATCTTCGCACCGTTACCCCAAGAATGTGGTGGATTGTACTGAACCGCTCCGACCATGAAACATATGACCATGGTGATCGCCTCGCCGAACAGCGTCGCGACGCAGGTTCTCACTTGCGCTGCGCCGCCATCCCTCGCGGTGTCTCGTGCCGCGTCCCTCGGGGCTGGGAATCCGACGCCCTGGGACATGCTGGTTCCTCCCGCCAGCTGGCCAACAAGCCTCGTGCCTGATACGCCAGCTAGGGGAGAAGGGATGGGAGAAGGGAGGGGGGGAGAGGACCCTGATTTCCTACGAGTCTTCTGTTCCCGGATCTCGGCTTCACGAGCCCGCGATCGGGCCCACGACCGCGGGACGGTCAACTGCCCCTGGGGCAGCGGTCGAGACCATGATCGAAACAAAGACACAAGAGCATCGCAGGAGGTCTAAAGGGGGAGGGGGGGAGGCAAGGAGGAGAGAGGAGTCCGACAGGAGGGAGGAGGAGG